GCAGCACACCAACAGATAGGCTTTGCAGGACCACCACAATTCCCTCTGATGCAGGAAGCCTTATTTCTGTTTCAGCTGTGCATCTCCCAGGCTTCTCAGCTCAAATCAGTGCTCCTTATCTTCAGGTCTGCCTGTTTACTGAAGTCTGCCTGGAGTGGTGTGACCCAGATTGTGCTTAAATACAGCCAAGCTCAGCACAGTAGCAGTCAGTCACCCTCTCTGGACACGGTGCTTGGCATCCCGAAGAGCCTGTTGTCAATGTTCAGCTGTATCTAATGCTCAGACTATATGGACAGGAAATATCTGGCCTAGACTGCCTAGATCAACTAGTAAAACGTCACTTCTCCCTTCTTTTTAGTCCTCTGTCATCTCAGTCCCTATATGCACGAATGGAAATGAATCACAAACATAGGAGAGTTTTCAAGTGAGCAAAGGAGGGCACACTGAGTCTTACAGCAGGCTGCTACACCTGCCTCTAAATTACATATAAGACACTTTCATGCTGCACAGAGCATAAGTATTTAACTACTTACCTAGCTTGAATTCAAGCTAGGAATTAATATGAAATAAATTTTGCTCAGCATGGGACTCTCTGGGAAGGTGTGTCATGCTCCACAGCCCAGGTCCTGCATACCACTCCAAGCCTGAACACAACCACAATGAAGCAATTCCTGCTGATTGGGACATCTCTGGCTCATAGAGATCCATTTGGCTACATGTGCTCTTTAAAAATTAACATTGCTGAAAAAGGGCAAATAAACAAAGGAGGTCAGAATCACCTGCAAGTACTTTACAAATGCAAGATCACTCTTACCATTCACTTCAAACAGCAAAACCTCATAGCTAGCACTAATTTAGCCAGGAAAGTAGACAAAAACTCCACCATGATATATCTGCGAGTAGCACCACAAGCTTTACAATTAAGATGTGCAGTCATGACCACACCAAGTTAAGATCACAGGAGCAGGACATGGTGCTACCCATGGGCACTCCTGAACTGAGTGGCCACAGAGGAGACAGATGCCTGACCCATGGAATCACATCCCTAATCAGAACACACCCAGAGGTCACCCTGCCATAAAGAGGTGTTCAAGGCTCCTGCCATTTACTTGGAAAATACTTTTTTCCATATGGAGCCACTTTAGTGCAAAGCAGTCACACTCCTTTAGTTTAAAGAGCACACCCCCTAAGCTGCTTCAGGCTTCCCTCCCACAACACCATGCCCTCCAATTTAAAATGGCAAAAGCCAGTCAGCCCTTGGAGGCTCTGAATGTGAAAGGACTGAACTAGAAGGACCCCAAGAGAGAAGCAACTGCTCAACCTCCAAAGCCTTGTCAGCTTGCATACTTGCAGATCAGCACCCCGTTTTCTGTGGGAGGAAGGTGCTCTAGAACGAAGTGTTCGCCTGCTCCCAGCCATGGCTCTTCAGCTGAGGCCACAGCTCGGTACAAGGCAGAGCAGAAGTGTGTACTGACCACGCCTGGCTACCTCATGGATCTCCACCTGGGGAGTCCTCCTGGTGAGATGTCACTGCCATGGGGTTACCAAACAGGAAAAGTGGCTGGAATGGTCTTGGTTGCAGCAGGAATGACATTCTATACATTTAGCCCATCTCAAAAGCCTGCAGTCAGTAAGTGGGTCTCTTCTACCCTCCACACGTACGACTTCCAATTTCTTTATAAAGGGCCTGGCAGTTGTTATTAGAAAGAACATACATAGATTTTACCTGGCACAAGCTTCTCTCCAGAACAGACAAACTTTCATTAGTGGAAGAAAAAGGGAAAATGAGGAATTAAAAACAGCCATGGGAAGTGTGAGAGTGTGAGAGAAATAAGCAAAAAACCACTGCTTTCTCAAGGTCACTGAAGAGCAGTCAAGGCCTGCAGTGAAACGCCGAGAGCTCTCCAAGGGCATGAGAACGTAAGGTGAACAGAGCTTTTTACTTATTTCCACTGCTGAGAACAGCCCCCTCCTCATTGCAATGTTAATTTCCAACAAAATATGGAAACAAATACCTTGTTACACCAAATTATTAAATTGCTTTAGTATCAGACAAGCCCAGGTAAAAGCTGTTTCTGTGGACAGCTGTGAGTGTCCCCTATAGCCACACCTCCAACAAGGGGTTAACGGGAGGCTACAAACTGCTGTAACCTCTCTTTCCCATTTGCTCAGGGATTTGCTCACTGAAACAGAGGCTACTGCTCTTTAACCTGTCTGAGAAACCTTTTCCCCTTACATAACCCCAAGATTCTGTGAAGCCCTCTCACGTTCATATAAATATATATTAAGAAATCTACTTCAAAAGCACTCATGTTGAAATTAGTCTGCAATCCCTTTGTTTAAAGTTGCTACCGTTCCACAAACGCTGTTTGCAGTAGTAGTAGAATTGCTCAAGTACAGCTCCTGAAATGTGAAATAAAAAGCAACAGTGGAAAAAAGCCTCTAACTTCAACAAGGCAATCAATGTCTACATGCTTTTTTTATGCATAAAAAAGAGATTGGATTGTTTTTTACATAGTTGTCAATTATTTTTTCCAGCATGGGAAGACTCCTCTAATAAATTAAAATATTCATTACAGCAGATGCTCTCAGCAAGCTTCTTTGGATGAACAAATGAGATCAACCTGAAAAAACACTGTTTGGCTGAATATAAGCATCACTAGTAAAATCACCAAACCATTTGCTTCCCCTATGGTATGAAGTATCCAGGAAACTTTATTTCATTACTGAGTGTTGCATGGGATTTAAATCATCCAGCCATGGCAATGTTGCTGGTCCACTAGAGAAGACAAATCACGAGCTGAGCTGATGCCAAGACCCCCAAGGCTGTTGAAATCATCTCATGCTTTACAGACCAAATTCAGTACCTGACATGTTTAAAAATATGAAATTATTTTAATAAGTCTGTTTACATTTCAAACAAATAAGCAAACATTGTTAAAATTCACTTCATCTCAAAATCACAGAATCAAATATTCTGTGAAAATACTTACACCTTACAGTTTGACATTAATCCAACAATTAAAATAGTATCTGGAATGATTCTATGGATTTCTGCAGCTCACTGATAGAAAACATCCCAACCTACTCAAACAGTAAACAGAACAGTTATGATTTAACCCTTATCTCAAAATATCTTTTTGAAGTTACTTAGCAAAAATAAACATCTCTGTACTTAAAATAAATGATGTACAATTACAACAGCTCTTATGCAACCTGTAGTATAATCTGTAAAAAAAAAAAGTTTCTCATTTGACTGTGAGCCTGGTTCTAGACCTGTAAATAAAGACTAGTGATAAAGTCTCTATGCCCAGGGGAGATCTGCTGAACTAGACTCTATTTTGTCACAGAAACTTGCACAACAGTAACTCAGACACAAAAGAAGTAAATTACCATGGTACTTCAGAAAAAGAGGTTACTACAGTCCCTACAGTGAAAAGCACATATATAAGAATTTGTACAAAATATGGGCTGACAGATAAATGGCATTTTAGGAGAAAGTGTATCAGAGATTTGTATTTCACCTTGTGAAAATCCATCAAGTAGGGCTACAAAAAGAAAAACAACTGTAAAGTTCAACAAAGTTCTCTACAAGTGAGCAACTATCTGCTTTCAAGGAAAAAAAATATAAAAAAAAATCTTTTCAGGGAAAAATAAAAAAGAAACACCAAAAAACATAACTCTGAAGCAGTTATGACTGTCCAAATCTGTGACTCCAGAAAGAAATCATATGAAGCAACTAAGAATTGACTAATAGTTCTCCCTCCTGCATGGATTTAAAATGGAAGTTTTCACAGTTCCATTGATGCAGTTTAACAGTCAGAAGAGCAAAGTGGGGCTGGGAGGAGTTGATTAGTCAGTCAGTGTTCTTAACAAAGTTTATTAATTGGTTATTTTGTGTCCTGAATGCAGGTGGTAAAAAGGGTGAATTGTAATACAATTTCTATAGCAAATTTCTTTCTTTTTTTTTTTTCAAACTGAGATCATCCAAAATACATCATTCCACTTTTCAGAACAACCATTCTAATGCAGAGCTGATCACATTAATGGTGCACTTTGTAACAGCCCATGGAGACAACGCAAATTAGTACTTTGGCCTCTTTTGAATATCATCTTATCTGAGGCCTAGGAAGTAAGCAGAAGTTGATAGTAATTAACTGTGGCCTTTAATAATAAAATTATATGAATCTTCCAATGCTAGATTTTGTAATAAAGGCATAACTTCATGGTGGCAGAAGCACAAGAAGATTCCAAAAATAGCTGAACACATCTTTAGCCATGAATGAGAAGCTTCTTGTTTTGTTTTATGTAATAATCACAGAGCATGAAATTTTGACAACTTGGCATGTTTTGAACTTGCTTTTACTTCATTCATTTTTAAGAGTAAATGGCTGATGGTGTCTAAAAACATTAAATGAAGGGCAGCTTTGCAGGAATAGGAGATGGGATCCTTAAAGTGAAACTTTAAAGAACCTTCTCTTTTGAAACACAGGTTAGAAAAATACCATCATACTATACTAATGAAATTTTTATTCAACACCCAGCTCTTCCATTTGATGGGGAAGCAGACAAACATATACCTTAAAGAAGAACCCCAAACAACAGAGTACTCCTCTACTGCTTTAGAACTGATGAATGCACACCCATTTCTCCTAGACTTTGTAAAAAACAAAAAAATTGGTAGGAACCCTTAGCAGAGTGCCTTATCAGGAAGGGCCAGCCCAACCACTGCTCTTTCAGTTCGTCCAGAAATGGCTTATTTGTGTGCAATGAATAAGCAGATGCTAGATATCACTGGAGTACATCACAGTGAACAAACACTGCCCACAGGCTGGGGTGGAACAGCAGCACACAGGCACAACCCCTCTTAGCAGGTGTTCAAATTACATGTTCTTAAAAGCTTAACACTTTGTCTGGATTCCAGATATCAGCCTCACTGCTAGCAAAGTTGGAAACAACAATGGAAATCATCAGTACAAAAAGAAATTGCTGTAACAGGCTTCGAAGAACAAAGAGCTTCCATGCTCCTCTTTATTTCAACAGAGATGATCAGTTAAGGTGCTTTAGGATTCTGCATGGCAGACAAGCTGGCAGAGGTGGCCATTTAATAAGCTCTGGAGTCTTTAGTGGGTATCTGAGGGCAGCTCCTGGGGCAGAGCCCTGAACTGCTAGTTTCTGTAGCGGGGCATCTGTGGAGCAGGGGCTCCCTCTAAGGGGACTGAGGAGGAGACTGCCATCAGCTGTCCACCATGAATTCTCTCATTCACCCGCAGGTCACAGCCATCCTGCAGCATCCTTATAGCGATCCTTGCAATGTTTTTAGAGTCATCAAGTCCACTGTGAGGTCTCCCATCATAATTCATGCCCAGATTTTCAAGCATGATTGTCAGCTTGGTCTGGTTCCTAGGAACCTGATGGAGAAAGTGAGTAACATTCAAGGATTAGGTTCGGTACCAAGTCTTTTAAATCTAACACGGGGCAGTAGAAACACATGCAGATTTCAAGCCTACTTAAGTCACACAAGACTTTCATGATGCCTTCTGTCAGATCACTAACATTTAACTTCAAAGCACCTTGGTGAGACAGACACTCTCATTTTTACAGAGGAGAAACAGTCAACAGGAGTTTGTCTAGACCTGGGATCACGTCAAGAGCCTCTGGCCAGCACCAGCTCAAGATACACTTGTGCTGGTAAGGGTGGAAGCTGTGACCTAGATAAGTTTAACCATCTTTATAAAAAACAAAAAACAGTGGCATTGCAGAGGGAATCTCAGTTTGGTTTTCCTTTTAAATTCTAAGTGATTAAAGAAGCACCAAGCTCCTGATTCTCACTGGCATCAAGCTCCTGAGTGCCTTCAATCTTCACAGGATCTCATCAGCAACACCGACAGCAACCCTGTAATATTTGTCCAGCAAAAAGTAAAGCTCTTCCTTATTAAATGTCAATCTCTCTTTTATCTAGATGTTGCATTTAGTATGAAGAAGTCTTCAAAAGAAGACCATTAGCTATGTTAAATCCCTTTCAAAAAAAGTATTTTAGTGTAGGCTGATTGGGAATTTGCTAGAATCTCCAATAACTCATTTTATGGTGGTCTGACAGAAAGCAGCAATAAGGCCCAGCACTGAACTCAGTATTACTTTTCTCTTGACAATTTGATTCCACTGTAGATACATCCTAATCTTTCTCTGCCTCCATGACACTGTCAAAAGTCAAGATTCTATGAGGGTAATGGTACAAGTTAATTTTGTAGTGTATTGAATGAAAACAGGAAAAAAGAATCAAAAAATCAAGACAGTCTTTTCAGCTGAACCACTTGATCTAAGAGGACCGGTATAACATTTTTAGACAATCCTTCAAGGAGCACAACCTGATTCTTAAAAACAAGATTAAAATCAAAATGCAGTAATTATATGATCTTCAATTAGTGAAGTGAGATCTGCACATGAAACGCATTTGAAAATCAGGCACCAGGCAACTAGTTCAAGTACCATAATGTTATACTACAGAAGTAGAGATGACAAGCACAACAGGTCATTCTAGACTTTTAAACCAAAATTTCCCATAAGTGAAACAGCAATTTGTACAAACCTTGTAGAAGTTCCCATATGATTTGCGAATATTGATCCACTTTTTGGCAAAAGAAGGGTATTTGATACGGCTAATACGGCACTGGATGTTCAAAAATTTACTCATATCCCAAGATCTTAGAAAGTCAAAAGAGGAAAACATTAGTCGTATATAATCCTGTGTTCTGCATATTGCACAGTGGTACAACTAAAAGCTTTCTTGTCTCTGGTGATCAGTAGAATGAAAACAGTTTAGGAAAAGCTCATTTGCTACAGTCCTGGTAAAGAATTTTTGATATGAATTTGTTAATAATGGGGAAAAAAATAGGAGCAAGACTTTCACCAGGATGGTTTCAGGTCTGCAACAGTTAGGACAAAAAATAGCACACCAACTACTCCACCTACCACATCAACATGGAAAACTGCCAATGAATTAGATGCTTACACAGCCCTTGGGGAAGCAAGTGACACCTTAAATCTTCCTGATTATTTGGGTATGCATTTACCTCTCTACTTCAGGTAGAAACTAGACTGCACCTAGTTTTATGAGAAACCAGATCTCTATGAAAATATGAAGAAATTATAATCCTATTTATTTAGCAGCCTGCCTTCCTGAAGTGAACCACCCCAACAAGATTGTAAGCTGCAAGCTAAAGTAAAGCTTTTTTCCCCCATCTCTTCTAGCTATCTATGCAATCTCACCCATACAACAGAGATTTCAATGTACCTATTTTCCTTAAGGAATTTCACTGGGGGGATTCCTCTGGAGCAGAACTCCAGAGACATTTAGGCCCAGTAATATAACCAGTCTTGCATCAGCTTTGCTTTCGCATTTTCTTTTTTTTTTTAATTCACTGTTGCTTCCAAAGAGAGCAGTGTAATTATAGGCTAAAAATTAAAAATTGCAGAGTATTATTTTCAGTGTTATGTGCTAGATATAAATGGAGAATTACAGCAGCAACAAAGTGCAGTCTTCAGCATCAAAGTTGCATACAGACCACTAGGAAAGAAACGGCGCCATCTGATGGATTTAAGCTTCATTTTGAATAGTTCAGTTCAGCTGTACCAATCAAACAATCTTTTTAACAAAAGCTTTAATTAAAATAAAACCAGCAAAATGGCAGTGTCCTGATCCATCTTTAGCAATGCTCCCACAAATATTAAATGTGGTTTTGCAGTTTTAGATTGCGCTGAAGGCTGTATAAGGACATACCCATCAGTCAACAGGGAATAGCTGTACTTTGTTCCCAGTTCTCGTTGTCTCATCCACTCTATGACATTCTGCAGAACTTGAGGAAAAATATCAGCTTTATCAACAATGTCCTAAGAGAACAAAAAAAAAAAAAAAAAAAAAACCAACAAAAACAAAACAACCAACAAAGTAAGGAACATTTTTTCAGGAAAAAATCCCTCAGCATTAAGTGTATAAACTGTACTGGTATATGGGCAATTAAAAACTTGGCTTCATCAAAATCTTTACAAAACCAGATTACATGTTAACAGATGACTGGACAGGTTTTTCTAAACTGAAAAAATAGCACCACAAAAGCACTGCTACAAGAGCCAACCTCATAATAGCTTCTGTAAAGGTAAAAGGTTAGTCCATAGTTGAACCTAGATTAAAACCTTTGAGGTTGTTTCCCAGGCTCCTTCTTAAGTCACTTATCACTAGCCATTGCCATCCTAGGACTCGAAACTCTTCAGAACAAAAATATTAGGAAAGGAACTGATGCAATTCAAAAGGTGCTTTGCCCTACTGAAGATTAAATTTCTCCACATGAATTAAAAAGAAAATATTTTTCCCCATAAAATGACCAACTTAGTGAAATCAGCTCTGTGATAATTGGGAGAGGGAAAAAACAAGGGTTAAGATAATAGGCCTTACAGAAAAATAACCATGAAAAACTACCATTTAAGGTTACCAGTCTGAAAACATCAACATCACATCCCTTTTTTTTTTTTTCTATTTCTTCCTGAAGAAACAAAAGTGCAAATTACCTGGGTTATTCCTGTCAGACTGATGCAGAAGTCTGAAAGCTTGGGATTAATCTCTGGCTTCACGTATTGCTGAAAGGTATCCTCCTGTAACAGGAGAATCAATGGCTCAGCTGCAGCACACTCTGCAGCCTGCAAGGCAACTTCTCTGGCTCACCTGCAGCCCAAAGGCAACAGCAGCTACTTGTCCTGCTGCAGGCAAAAAGGAGTGTGCACCTCCCGAGCCAGTAGGAGCCTCCTGACTGGCCATCACCAGATCCCTAAGAGGACAGACAGCTTTCCAACCAGAACATGGCCTTCCTCTCAGCCAGTAGGCACCAAAGAGTGGGAATGTGGAGTTAAGAGGGAAAAATGACTTTTTTTCTGCAAAAAAGCAGAGGATTTGGGAAAAGAAGAGTGAAAGTAAGGAAAAAATAAGTGAGAGGCATGAGCAAAGCCTTATGTTTTTTAGGTGGTATCTCTAAAGGTTCACCTGCAATTCAAGGAAAGCAACCAGCCACACACCTCAGAAGCTTCAGGCAAGTCCTGGCCTCTAGATGCCAGCCAGGCAGAGACAAACAAAATCTCACTCTGGGAAACTGAGCAACACAAGAGTGAAGACTGAAGGCAAGTTCCATGGAAAAAAGAAAGCCCCAAATCCCTGCTGTTATACAAAACCTTTTGGACAGACAGAAAAAAAACCACTCAAAGGGCAATAAAAACAATCTTGGTAATCTGCACAATCCTTTTTCTGCTGTTAAGTCATACATGCAGCTGTTCTTTACTGTAGCATCACAACGATTACTGGAAATCCTCTTCCCATTAAGAGTTCTTCATAAACGAACCATTAGTCAGAGGTGTGTGCACATCCTCTGTTTCACTCAATTTCAGTGAAGCAGCAGGTAGTTTATCCTAAAAGAAAGCTGTACTGGAACAGAGCACTTGAGGCTACCAAATGCCTGTGAAGTATGTTTAAAATCAGGTGACACAGCTGTCAGTCTATTGGGTACAATGTGGAAACAGCTGAGCCTGACAAGAAACGGAGTTCACTCAATCTCACCTTCTAGAACTCTGCATTAGTGTCTTCTAGATGTCCTCACACAGGACCACAGAAATTGATCATTTTTGATTATGATGAATGCCTCGTGTCCTAGAAAATGATTTGTGGGCCTTAAAGCAGGGAAAGAAAGTGCAGGTGGGAATATACACAGACAACTGAGAAATTCGTATCAATAGAGGGAGTTGACAGCAGAAGAATGATCTACTTGGATGATCATTTGGAAAATACTTTCAGAAGAGAAAGTTTTGTTTGTACCTAAGAGGCACAGAGGATAAATCCTTATGAAAAAAAATATGCTCTTTTTAATGAAGTTCAACATCTACCTAGAAACTAATCTAGACCTTCTGATGCAAACAAATTGCTTCAAATAACAGCATACCAACACAGCCATTAGATCACTTACTATTTCCAGGGTACGAGTGTTTACTAAGACAACAGGAAATTCAATTATTTCATGTACAAATTCAGGTGGATTTCCTTCTTCACAAGTTGCTTCAAAGTCAACGACACAGATGTAGTCATAGCAGCTGTCTCCACTAATGTGGTCCTTCTGCATCAGCTTCTGTTTCTTATAATAGTTTTTCAATCTCTTTTTCAGTACATCTTTCACTCCTCTAAAGAAATAGAGAGAGTAACAAAGATCACACTCTTGTTTAATTATTTCCTTGTTGTAAAACTGAAGCTATATTTAACATTTGAAAGCTCAACACTTATTAACTTCATTTTCAACACCAGCACATGTGAAGTCTGAATTCCACTTTATCATAGAGGAGCGTTAGCCCCATTATCTCCACTACATTAAACCCATTTCTGGGATAACCCAGAGGCTGTGATACCCCTCACAATACAATACCAGAGACAGACTGGGAAGCATGGCACAGAGAACTCTGCAGTCACCTCTGCTTCAGCAAGACTTGTTATCCAAAGCTTTTCCAAAGCTCAAGTCTTTGTAATTACCCCTGTTTGATCTCTGGCCCTGGAAGAAGTACTGCTTCACCTGGATTTCCCTGTGCCCTCTACCTGAAGTGATTCATGCCTGAGGCCTTTCTGCATCAGCAGCATAGACAACACAGAATCCATCTTGAACATCCACATCTTACATTTTTCTCAATTTAAATTTAAAATTCAGCTTGAATAAAATTAAAATGAAGTATTTGAGATTCCAGTTGTCAGAAAAACCTCCTGGTCAAGATTTTGCTTTTCAGGAAGTTTATGGCTATAAATAAATTCACATGGCAAGCAATTTAAGTTACTTACTGTATCATTTTAATATAAACATTTTAATATATGAGTGCATATGCCAGAACTGTCATGCACCAAACCAGAGCTGAATAAATGAGGATCAATTACTCTTCCAAGGAAGTTACTTTCAAAATTATTCATTACAAATGAAATCACAGAAGCTGTAAGAGATATGAGTAGCAAGTGGTATTATCAGAAAAGCAGCCCAGTGATCCACAAAGAAGAACTGAAATGAAACTACTAAACAGGCATTTGAGAACATCAGCTGCTTCTGCAGAGAGAACTCTTCTTCACTCTGGTTTATTGGTCTAGTTTAAGTCAACGACCAGTCCATTAAAAGTTGAGACAGTATGGGAGCTGATGGAGGGGGAAATTACCTCTTTCTTTAACAAACTTATAAAAAAAAGTTGAAAATAGTAAATTACTGGCTATCACAGTAACCTCCAAGGAAAGGATGGTGTGTGGTAATCTGCTCAATTCTCTACATTAGAACTGATGCACTATTTGTTTATAGATAAGGCACATTCTGACTTGACGTACTTGAATATACTGACAAAAGAAGCCTAGCTTGGGTAAAAGAGAAATTTTAAGCTTTTAGCATTTACAATTAAATTTAAAAACTCATATAGAAAACTTATAACCTAGGAGAAGACCATCATGTACTATTTGAATTCTGCTTTTAATTTTAAAATCAGAGCAACTGCTAAATAGCTATAGAAATCTAATGTGTTTTACCAAAAATTTTCCCAAGTAACAGTAAGATTTTCTCCTCATGAGGCACTAAATTAATTTAACCAACCAACTCCCCACTACTACTTCCTCATTCTTGCTGCCTACAGAAACAACACACTATTTTTCTCAGCTGACCTTCTTCACAATATATCAATATCTTGCCTGGCCACAGAATTATTAATCTTGCAGGTCATTTCCAGTACACCAGGAACTACACTATACTCCCTTGCCTCTGCCCCAGTGAACACAAATCCAGCTTATAATACATTCATTTTTTCACATTTTTCTAGCACATGTATTCAGAGTAGCAAACTCTCCATCTAAAGGTACCTCTCCTCTGCAGTGATTAAATCCTGAGCCCCACCACCAGAGTTTGTAGCAAGTATCAGATCTGTACCGGTACACTAAATAAAAATATAGATGGTCTGAAGCAAGTTGCTGTATGATGAAGGTCTGCAGCACCACCTGAGAACCACTGCAGTTCTTCTTTCCCCCTTGACCAAAAAGTGATGAGAAGTACCTTACAGTTATGTATTCAAGCATTTCTTTGGGTTGCCAGTTGAGACAGGACACATTAAGCAGTATACATTAATCCTACAACAAAAAAAGCTTCAACAAGATTGCACACGAAACCACTGGTGTCCAGTGCTGTGCCTGCTTTTCACTTTGTGCTGAGTTTTTGAACTTTAAAATAATCATCTCTCATGACTCTACTGCTCTCAAAGATAAATCAACATGTTTACAAATAACCTGGTTTCAAGCTTGAACTCTGCAAGTTTACTTCTGAGCTCTTCTCTGGTCATTCTGTTGATACAACCATTGGTTATAGCAATTTCTTTGTAAATCGGATCACTGAAGTCGTTTGAACTGGCAGCTGAGGTTTTGCCATTAGTTTCTTGATCACTGATCCTACAATGCTGTCTACCCTAGAAGAAAGAGAAATCAGGAAGTCATTTAAGAACGTCAAAACAAGATGCTTGAGCATTTCACAGCTCGTTTTGGCACCAGAACGCAGTAGAGCGTCACACTGTTACACTTGTGATCAAACTGAGTGAACTAGCTGATAGAAAGGTAAGCGAATCAATACCGAAGGCTGCTCTGAAGCAATGTTTTCCTAAACAGCAACAAACAGAATAAAGGAACACTAATGCCCGTGTCTTGAGCCGTGTCGAACAGCAGCTCTTGGAGACAAAACTCGAACATGCATCCTAACCTCAACAGAAAGATTTCCCTGGGGCAAACGGGCAAAGCCTTCACGAGCAGCGAGATATCTCTCGACGACTGAATTAGCCACACTGACTGAGACACGCGGGCCGGGGCCCAACGCGTGCAAGATAAACAAAGCAATAAACGAGAGGAAAAACTACGGGCACTTCCCGGCTCCCGGCCGCTGCTCGCGGCCTTCATGGGGCCCACACACGGCGCGGCCGCGGCGGGCCCGTGGCACCGGCGGCGCCGCTCGGGAGGGCGAGCCCCGGGCAGTCGCGGGCAGGGCAGGGCCGGGCCGGGGCCGCGGCGCTCGGGCCGCCCCGTGAGACCCAACGGCTGCGGCCGCGGCTCCCGGCGTTCCCGGCTGCCATCAAACACTGCGGTGGGCATGGCCACGCGAGCCCGGCCGCCTCACCCCCGCTGTCCCGCCAGCCCTCGGCCCTGCCCCGCTGCAGCAGCACCGCCGCCTCAGCCCTCCAGGGCTTCTGCCCGGGGTTTGGGGTCACGGCAGCTCTCCGGAAGCCCTCTCCGTGTTACGGGAAACACACACTGGGCAGACACCTCATTTACGCCTCCGTCCTTCCCATGGCACCGATTTTGCACAGAGCACCCGAAACACGGATCTAGGACACCCGCGGTGTGTTCAGTGCCAGGTCACAGCCACCAGAAGGATGCAGTTCACCCCCAGCCCCTTCCTGCCAGGGAATTTGCCGTGCCTGCTGTTCCCCATATCCCTTAATCCACAGCCAACAACCAGGGTGAGGTGGGTGACATGTAAAGCTCTCTGGATCTTCTTGGCCTGGAGGTGAAGGCAAAGCAGTGAAGTCTCTCTGTCCATCACAGGTCAGTTTGTTTTCCGCTGGTGCTTCCCACGGTCCTGAAATGCCACCCAGTATCCCTCAGCGATGGAGGCTGATGTGTACTGGCACCCAAGTAAAGCAACCACGCCAATACCTCCACATCTGCCAGCCACTAAACAGCCCAGAGTCTTCTCTCTGCCCTGCTGTGGCTGGGGCACCCACCCTCAGTCGGGCCTCCCGTCTCACTGTGGCACACCAGCATCTTGCAGATGATGACATCCCCTTCTCTAGACCTGCTGTGCAACATTTGTCATCCTCAGGTGAGTGTGCCACAGAGGTCTGTCTCTTCCACATTGAGTGATGACAAAGTGAGATCACACACAAGTGCTTGGGGCTATATGTCCTGCTTTTGGCTGGGACAGTTAGCTTTCTTGGAGACTGCTGCAGCGCTGTGTTTTTTTGATTTAGTATGAGAATATTGTGGATTATACACTGATGATTCAATTGTTGCTCAGTAGTGCTCACTCTAAGCGAAGGCCTTTCAGTTTCTCATACTCTGCCAGTGAGAAAGTGCACAAGCTGGGAAGGAGCATGGCCAGGACAGCTGACCCAAATTGGCCAAAGGGATATTCCATACCATGGAACACTTTGCCCAGTATATAAATGGAGGGGAGGAGGAGGAGTTGACTGGGAGCTGCTGATACTCATCCCCCATCACTGGGGGAGGGGCTGGGCATCAGTCAGTGAGTGGTGAGCAACTGTACTGCACATCACTTATCTTTCCTGGGTTTCATTCCTCTCTCTTTCATTGCAATTACTATCATTAGTATTATTATATTTACTTTGCTTCCATTATTAAACTGCTTTTAACCCATGGGTTTTACTTTTTTCCTTCCCACCAGGAGGTGGTGGTGAGTGAGCAGCTGTGATGATGCTTAGTTGCCAGAGGGGGTTAAACTGCAGCAGTGGGAAGTGATTTGCTTCCATTTTTAATTCATCCTCCTGGTGCTGTCACAAATGCTCCTGTTGCCAAGCAGAGGACCACCTGCCTTACGATTCTGCCTCCAAAACCTGCTCTGAACATGAGCAGGAAACCAAGCTTTTCACAAATGCAAACAACACGGTACCAATGAGAACCATTGAGCTGGCCTCACAAACCCATAAAATACTTTAAAAGGTAGTGGGTACAAAAGTTGTTCCCCAGAAATCACCTGCCTTGCTAAAGTGGGCAGTGATTCACAGACACTCCATGCAGGGGCTCCATGCTCAGATTCACTCAATGGCAAATCTCTTCATGACTTTGCTACAGCACAGATCTACAGCTAGGTGCAGAGCCTTCCAGAGCTAGAACCCAAGGAGGCACTGCAAGAAGAAAAACAAATGACACAGCCAGAACTCTCCTGGAGATTGAGATCGCTTTTATTTTCAGTCATTTTGGCGAGGACGTGTGGGCAAGTGTGGGTGTGGTGCGTGTATGTCTGGGCATGCATGTGTGTGTGCGCAGAGTCCTGCCCAGTGATGTGGATTATATGAATACCTGCAGTTACAGTCCATGAACTGAGCCATGAAGCGTGTCATGAGTGCTACACTGAGGCCCACTTGCTTGCCTCTTCTTGTGCTTACTGCAGTGCAGCATCTCCATCTCCCGGCACAGCTGTTCCAAGGATGCCAGCCCAAGATCCCATCCAAAGGGCGCGAGAGGAACTGAGCTCCGGGATCTGGCTCTGCAGGAGTGAGCCAGTAGATTTTCATCTCACTTAGTGAGCTCCTAAGTAACATTTGCAGATCCCTTTGACACAACTCTAACTCCTCACAGTGAGGAGCCTCAACTGCTTGGACAAACTTTAGCTGCCTCAGAGGTACAATGGGAAAGAGAACAGGGACCTCACATAAATTCCAGTGCTACAGCACAGCCAAGCACATCTTGAGTTCCTGGGAAAGCAGCACACAAATACACTACTGAGTTTTACAGCCACCATGAAACTGTGGCATGGGGGATGCTGCAAGGGAGATGACCCATGCTTCTGCAGACCCCAGTCTCTTCCATCTGATCTGAGAGACCACAAGGCAGGGTAAATCCCAAACTAGGCTCTATTTCAGTTTAACTTTCTAAAGCTGAATCCCCCAAGCTCAGAGCAGAGACAATGCAGAAAGAACAGCACTGCCATGAAAGGAGACTAGTCAAAAGGATCCTGGCCTTGTGGCAGACTGGAAACAATCTTCTTTGACCCTTTTGCTTTATAGCAAAGTTAAAACAGAGGTGTACCATCACCCAGGACCCTCTGCAGCTGCCACAAGTCTCCAAGTACTCCTGTAAATCCTAAAATGACCTAAATGTGCAGCATCACCGTTTGGGCTCACTCTCTCTCACCTCTACCTATTTGTATGCTGCTTAGGGACATGCAATTTCTCACATTGCACAGACCCAGAAGAAGGCAAAGCTGCTGTCCTGGGAGTTTGACTTGGACGGATGCAGTTTTGAATCCCACGTTTTGCTCCAGAGCATAACACAAGGTACTCTAGGATATCTTCCAGCTGCTGAAAGTCCTGGAGTGCAAAGCAGCTTGTTAGCTCTGTTCCAAATCTGTCTGAATCAGTTTCAGCAGGAAATCAAAAACCGGTCAAGCAAGGGGTCTGCAAACCAATGAGCAAAACCAGTACAATTGTCTTGGGTGAAGTAGGCATCTAGGAGATTGCCAGGAGATTCTCCTCCTATTCCACAGGAGTTAAATTCAATGTCAGCTCCACAGGGAGACAGCTGATGCCCCAGTCCTTTCTGACCTCTTTATAATACATCTTCAGTAAAGGCTGCAGAGTGCTCCACAGAGGCCTTAGTCATTTCTAACAGTTTGGTAACTCTCTGAGCAGGGACAAGAACTGGAACATAATACATACTCTGAACTCAGGTATCTGCTGTTAGGGCACTGCATTCAAGCCCTCTTTCCTTGTGGCTTGATTCATGAAAAATGACAGATCCTTCAAAAATACAGGGCCCTCATCCCTGGGGCTGAGGGATATTAAGTGGGGTCTGAGGCAGGAGCTCAGCAAAGGGAGGCTGTATGAGGATCCCAGGGTGCATCCTTAAAAGACAGCGACAGCAAAATCAAAAGTACTATGAGCCGCTTGGTTTGGTTCTCCTGCATGGATCTCCCACCTGGCAATTGCAAAGGCGAGATGTTTCTGAACTGCATAGAAAATTAAATGGCTTTTGCATATTAAAAAAATTTGGATGAAAACACAGTTACACCAGTTACTAAACAGTGGGTGGATGAGCAATCACCGTTTTGTATTAAATAGACCCAACTAGATTGATATCCATACTGCCACACTCCCGGCATTACGGCTTCAGTGCACAGCAGCAGCCTGAGTGCCTGCAAAGGCCAGGGAATGCTCCCACGGAGGTGGCACACCCCGGCAGGAGGGCTGCAGTCCCAAGGAGCAGGCTGTAAGACGTCTGCTCTGTCCTCTCATTCCTTCAATGCTCACGCATCCCAGACCAGATGGGCACACTGGGAAACAGGCCTCCGGCTGGAAAAGGATTCCAGTTTGTGGTTTCTTTGCAATGTGGTTTCCACGCAACTTCACAGCAACAAATCGCTAGTTTCTTCCTATGGAGAATGGAAAGAGAGGTGAGTAGCAGCGAAACAGAAGGAGAAGGCTGCCCAGCATGGGAGGTGGCAGTAGGGAATCCTCTAACACAAGTTCTGCCTGTACCAGGCATGGTTCATGGGCAGCAAGACTCAGGACAAGGGAGTTTCCTAGCATTTTATTCCTGAGCACCATGCAAAGATCTCACCTCCCTTTCACCTCCTCCAGCCACCAGAGACAATTTTGAGTCTCCAGTTTATCCACAGCAACACAGAAGCACAATCAATTAACGATTCTCGCTGACGTAAGGAGGTTCATTGCCAG